AGAGGTTGCTAGTGGTGGCGGCTGGGGAGGATTTTTACCTGCCGAGCTTGTCAATTCCTCTTGGTCATAAATTGCATGGCATCATTTCGGCTTCATTGCTCGTCCCGGCTGGGCAGTTTCGTTTTGGGGGAGGAAGGCGGCTGGTAGAGCCAAGGATTTATCATGCTAAAAAACACTGAGCAGCAGTTGGAAACTACTGCGCGGCATTTTCTTGACATGTGCGCGGCCGCGCATCTGCGCACCTTAGAGGGAACAGTGGACATGAATATTTGTATAGCAGTCAATACAAGATATATTAGATTTGAATACACGGTGATGCCTGTCAGCCACGTTAATCATGAATGAAATATTTTCAGATGATTTAGACAAATACATTACAGTATATTTAGGTGACATTTTGGTTTATTCTGAAGATCCTTCCTTGCATATCAATCATGTCAGAAATATATTGCAAAAACTATAAGGAAAAATCTTTGCCAAGTTAAAAACAAAAGTGCATAGTCAATATGACTATTTCAAACATGTAATTTTAAGTAAAGGGATACAGATTGATCCGGCAAATACATAGAAACACCCATAATGTAAAAATATGCAACCTTTTTGGTCTTTGCTACCTTCTACCCAAAATTCATCCCTAATTTTGTTGATCGTGCAGAATTGCGGTTTCAGTTGTTAAGAAAGAATCAGCATTCTCCTGGTCAACTCAAGAACAAATAGCATTTTAAGAATAAGAAGTACTGTTTTCTTTTCACACCTTTCTCTGCCATCACAGCCCTTCTGTGGTATAGACAGATGGTACAGAAGTGGTATTAGAAGAAGTCATGTTCTAACTGGAAAAAGAAGGAGTGGCAGATCTATTGCCATTTACCTTTTAATCAAGGTGCCCTGATCAGCAGAAAATGACTATGATACTTTTAAATACCATGTTTCCCCAAAAATAAGACCTTCCTGGATAATAAGCCCAATCGGGCTTTTGAGCGCATGTGCTAAAAACAAGCCCTCCCAAAAAACAAGCCCTCTCCTA